TAGTTATAAGTTAAAATTTCTACTAGTTATATACTTAACTATAGAGATATTATTAAACTATTTAACTAAAACACTATAGGGATAGTTTATCTAAATATATTACCTTAACTACTTAGATCTATAACTCTACCTTATAGTAATATATTATATAATAATTATAAAAGATAAGGTTAAGTAAGTAATATTAGTGTCTATATTTAGCTAGAATATCTTAACTATTATTATTAGGTATATCTAGGCTAGTATATAACCTAGGCTAGTTATAGAACTTAATAAGGTCTTAGCCTACTATATCTAGGCTACTATAGTATAAAAGAAAGCTATTATAAACTTATTTATATCTATTAGTAGTATTAGGCCTATAGTAAAGGGTATTATTAAGGCTAGCGCTTATTCTTACTATATAAGGTTAATTACTAGTTAACTTAAAGGTAGTAGTCTTTATAAGGCTTAAGCCTACCTAACTATTAAGTTTAATAGCGTTAAGTATATAAAAAGGTAAGTAGTACTTAGTAGTCTACCTAGGTAGTTCCCCTAGGGGAATAGGTATACTACTAGTAGTCCTTAGGCTATAGATAGTATATATATTATTTACCTTAATAGTAAAAGTTATTAATATACTTTATAAAATAAGTAAAAGGCTTAAGCTATCTAGGCCTATATAGGCTAAAACCTTAGTAAGTCTAGGCTATATAGGTAGCTACCTATACTAGCTAAGAATTAACTTAGTATAAAGTATAGGTATTATTAAGGATTAGAGTTCTAAAAAAAAATACAAGGTTTTTATATAAGTGTTAAGACCTTTATAGTGTAGTAAAAAAGTATTAGTAATTATATAGGCTTATATAAGCTATATAAAAATAAAGTAAAATAAGGTTTAGATAAGACTTTTTTTTCTTAATTTATTAATATTTTTATTTCTGTTTTAGGAAATAGCCCTGCTTTTCTGTTCTAGTTTTAAGAAATCTATTTTTAGTATAGGCACTAACATATATTATATAGTGCTAGGCAAAAAATACAATACAAATATAAATTATATTTACTAGTATATCTTAGTATATAATTACTAAAAATAGAAACTATATTAGATAACCCTTATAATAATTTTAAGATCTATAATATATATTAATTATATAATTTAATATTTATAACTTAGTCTAAAAAGCCTTGTATTTTAAAAAAAAATACAAATTCTATATAAAATACACTTTTAAATCTTTGTTAAAGATAGACTAGTAGTCTACTTTTCCTAGTAAGATCTACTAGTAGGCTAGTATAGAAGCCTAGTAGGCCTATAATTTCTAGTCCTTTGCCTTTTAGTAATTACTATAATATTACTATACTTTTTATTTACTTTAGTAATATACTATTTAGTAAGATATTTTTACTTTAGGTAGAGGCTTTACTTATTATAATATCTTTATTTAAGTTAGTTTATTAAGGAGGGATTTTCTAGGAGGTATTTAGTACCTACTTAGTTATATATCTTTCTAGTGTAACTAGGTTTCTTAATAACTAAGAGGTTTATAAGTTAGTATAAGATAATAAGATATTTATAGCTTTTATATAAAGCTATATATATAGGTCTAAATACTCTCTTGTATTTTTAATAATTCTTTTTACTATCTAGATATTTAATTTTATCTAATATAGATTAACTATATTATTACTATTTAGTTTAAACCTTTTTTACTAGTTTATTATCTTATAAAATAGCTTATTACTATTAAATTCTATAAATATAAAAGTATATATATTATTATAAAGGCTCTATAGTAGAGAATAAGTAACTTTATAGTTTAGATTTTACTAAAGCTATATATATATATACTATATATTAGTAATTTAGCCTAGTTATACTAGCCTTAGTATACTGTTTTTATAAGCTAGTTCTTGTTAAAGTAGAGGGGTATCTTTACTATATCCTAGTAAAGAAAAATTTTAAAGGTATAGATTAAGGTAGTTATACTACTACTTAATATAGCCTTCTTACTAGCTATTATAGATTTAATAAAAGAAGTAAAGCTATAGTAGGTAATATAAAGTAATATAGTATAAAGGTAAAGTATAACAGTAGAGTAATAAAATAAAGTAAGTAATAATAAGGAGCTAAATAAATAATATAGGACAAGAGCTAGGTATAAGTGTAGGTTGTCTATTAAGGTTGCCCTTCTTTATAGGAGGAAATAGGTAATAGGATATATACCCCTAGGCATATACCTAGATATATACTAACAGGGTAATCCTATGTCCTACCTGTCTATCTACTATATAAGGCACTTGTCCTATAACACTTCTTATAGTTAATATATTTTACTATAAAGGTAAACACCTTAGGGTATAAGGTACTACTAAATTAACTTATTATAAGGTTAATTATTAAGGTTAATTAGTAGTAATTACTATATAACTTTTATAGTAGTAATTAAGTAGTAATTTTCTTCTTAATATAACTTATACTTATAAGTTTAAATAGTACTAGGTTAGTTTTATATATATAAAGTAAATAAAGATAAATTTCTAAAGAAGTAAATATAAAGATAAAAGAAAAAGTTAAATATAGTAGTAATTATTACTACTTAAGTATCTCTTCTTAATAGTACTATAGTTAGTATAAAAGAGATTTTTACTTATTAAAGGGGTTCTAATAGCGTAATAGACACTATAGTGTTTCTTATAGAAGTAAGGTAACCTTAATAATACTTAACTTAGTTAGTAGTCTACTAAGTTATAGTAGGCTAAGTAAACTTCTATAATAGTAAGCCTTATTAATTACTAGTTATTAGTAATAATTAACTATTAATTAATATTAGTTTTTACTAGTTAATTAATAAGGATCCTTATCTTATAATATTATAAAGGTTAAGAAAAGGTAGTTAATTATGGTTATTAATAGTTAACTAGTTAACAAGGTGAAGTAGGAGCACAAGTGTAGCAGCACCCTTGCGTATGGGCAAGGGTGGGGGATTCTGCCAGTAGGCGGTGTGTCACGTGACCCACTGCCTCCGGCCGCATCACCCATATGCCAACAATACCAAATAACCCCATTGTAGACGGACGACCAGTTGGAAACCACTGTTGGGAGCAAAAATAGGGCCTCTCTTGCAGCTTCTAACCTGAGGTTCGCAAAAGACTCGTCGCCTTTAAGGAGGATAATGACGATATGCAGGTACTGAAACCTCATGCTGTTAAGACCAAGAGACATTTCCTGGAGTTGAGAAGTCCCAAGGGAGTTCCTCTCAGCCTTAATAGTATCCTCCAATATCTATAGTAATTTTGATGAGCATCAAAGTCCCCCCCTCTAATTTTGTTGATCTATTACTACCAACCTTTATTGTCGTTGCATACCATTTTTCAAGCTGCAACTTGATTTCATGCCTTTTGAAAGCAGACGGTCCAGGAGACAGAAACTCGATAATCGATCCCATGATCTTGGCAAGTTTTATGCCTCCAATAAAGAAATGGGCGCCAAAGTGAGATGGTTTCGACGGCGTTTGCGAGTCGGCGAAACGGCCGTCAGTATGGGGCTGGAACTTGAGAAGATAGCTGAACTCCGGCAGTGGAACATCTTGGTACGAATTTACCGGAAGAAATGGAGATCGACCAAATGCAAGGGTGCATGACTTGTCAACAATGAATAAGAGCCAAAAGAGGGACAAGCTCCGCTGGTGAGACTCAAAGTCGAGATGTGGCGAAACATGTAAACCCAACGCCTCAGCTTGACGGCAAGCGTGCCCAACAATCATCCAAGAGAGGTTTGGGGATGTATAGTCTTCACCATGCATTGCCATGATGGTCAGAGCCTGTACGTTGATTTCCCGCGGCTCTAGGAAGATGCTGCTATGGTTTAGCGCCTTTCGCACGTTGCGCCGAAATTTATCGGCTTGGTTGGCGTGGTTTTCCTCTTCAGTAGAAGCCTGTGCGAGCATAATGTAGTTAAAGAACACAACCCAAGCTTTTTGTGTGACTTGTTCTGGATGAAATACAATCTGCTTCAAGAGATCATCCGGAGGAGTACTGAAAAAAAACTCGCCGGTCGGTGCATGTTCCAGAAAGGCTGACAAGTTGAAGGTAGAAAATCAGCGGCGCAATATTAACTATTCACATACGACTTACTGCCGATAAGCTGATAGCCCAAGGCCTTTGAAGGTATGAAAAATCCTTTATTGTCTCCAATAACCTCCGTCTTGACAGTCGCAGTCGTCAACGAAGTCGATAGAAACTGCAATTCAGAACGAGCATGCTGGTACGCAAAAGGTGTGGACGTTCGCAAAGCTGCCTCGATGTTGTTTGACGTATCTTTCAGAAAAGAGAACGAATGAGAGGGACCAAGGAACAGCCCTGGAGTGTTCTCATCCTTCGGGGCACGGATGTCACTTGTGTGTGTCACTCTTGGTGTAGTTTCATTGTTTACCGGTGCACTTTTCGCAGTGGTAGCCTCTAGAACTCTTTCTACAGCTTCAGTCAACTTTTGAAGGCTGCTCTCAATGCTTTGCAACCGTTGCTCAATGGAGGAAGGGCTTGTTGAGCTTGGTGTTTTCGGTCTATTTACGCTTATCAGCATAGAACTAATAGAACACTTTGACATTAACTCACCGATCATTGACATGAGTGGCACCTGGCGTGGGTGCTGGCTTGTCTCGTGTGTAATCGCAGCTACCAGGCCATGGTTTGCAAGCGCTGCACTTGGGTAGCTCTCTTGAGCACCTTCCACGACGAAATGTCAGAAACCGCTCAAGATGACCGTTTTTCGGCTGCATGCGAAGGTATAAATCATGTACTTAAACTTCTTCTGTCGGCAATAGTCACACTGCATGCCCGGATATGTGAGTTTAACAGCCGTCGCAACAGCACTTTTCTAGCTTACTGCGAAACGAGCTAGGGTGGTGCTCGACTCCGAGTCATTGCCACGGTCCATTCTGCACAACTGGCAGTTATTGTTCGTAAAACGGGAGCTGGCTCCCCGGGATTGACGGCTTTTCGGTCGGCTGTCCAGTCGTGTTCCTGCTTCCGCGTTATCTGATGAGATTCTGTTTACATCAGATGAACGATGCTTCCAGATGGAATAAGCAAGTCAGAGGTTGAAGTCCTAACACGTTAATCATGACTGGTTAGACCCGGACGACTGATTGCCGAAATTCCGGACCCGTCCAATCATAGGCATTTAGTCCGGAAACCGGCGCATATTGGTAAGTGGGTGGCTTCTAAACTAGTCCGTTTTCTCTATCCTGATGATGGACATGATATTTAAGATCATCAGAAATGTCATCTATTTGAGCCGTGTTCGCTTACAATCAGCTTACCTCAAGGTACAGCTTGCATTCCGTATTCCAGGATCACAAAAAGATAAGAGTAACATTATTACACTTCCATATTGAGCAATACCAACACACAATGGCTAGACCTCAAACAAGTCCGACAACGACCCCTGTCGCCATCATCGGCGCTGGCCCTTGTGGCTTGGCTTTCGCAAGGCTGCTCGAAACAAAAAACATCGACTACGAAAAAGAAGGGGCTTTTTGTAAGGTCTTGACACTCTCAATTCAACTGCACAGTCAAGGTTTTAATGGCCACTTTGTCACAGCATGATTAAGCAGTACATGGAATCCTATTATAGATTGGTCTTTTCATCAAATACGCCTGTGAGGAGCTGGTTCGCGTTGTTACCTTCACTACCTGCATTCGAACAACCATATTTCTACAGAAATGCCATGCAAAAGGAACGTACATAGAGCCAGACTTATAGAGAATTTTATGGCTAGGATGGCCTAAGAAATCATATCAACATGAGTTGAAGAATCGAGACGGACCCGTCACAGTTTATTCAGCCGGTAGGACTGAGCCTTCCATCCCGAACACATATACATAATAGTGTTTGCGCTGGTCACAAATGTGCACTCTCAAGACACTAGCCATTAACTGCTTGGGATTCCTGTTTCGGGACTTCCATTGGTTGACTACACTAGTTTACAGTATGTTTTCCTTTGTAAGGTAGATGGAAACTATTCCGTATCATCTCAGGTCTCAGCCGAGGTTGTCTGTAAGTTATCTGGTTTTGGGTAAGAAGCTCTAGAAAGCTGCGAAGACACTCATGAAAGAAGTCATTGAGAATGTATAGTATTCATCTCTTGGTGCACCAATGGAAGTGCTATAATGCGTCGACGGCGTGCTATGATGGTGCATATAAACAGTCATGGAAACGATAGAAACAGAGACCCCCTCCTTGCTTGATAATTAAGCCTCGGGAATAAGTTGCATCTACGCCTTCAATGCCCAAAGAGCGTTGCGAAGAAAGTCAACAGTCTATAGGCGGTTCCAATCACCACCAGAACGTCTATGTTATTCCCAAGCCAACTCATGTGGAATCTAGGGTCATTTGAACTTATTTCGACGTTGTATAGATGCGCGAATAGCGAGATGAAATGACCAAAGTAGATCTATTCGAGCCAAACGCCTATTGAAGCACGCCACAGCAATTCCATAAGACATTCCTTGACTTGGGCCAGTAACGATGCAGAGCCGGACAGGATAACGACGATGAGACTAAGCATCTTCGCAAAAATAGGGTCATCTTCTCGCCGGAGTATCATGTTGGCGATGCTTGCCAGGCCGTAAATGCAATAGAAGTAGAGAAAGTTGACCAGGAAAGTGAGATCCCAGTTGATAATGGGCTACGGCGAATGTCATGGACGTTTCAGAGACCCATGCATCCGTTGGCGGCCCACAGTGTCAGGAGAGCTATCGATAGAAGTGGGATGCACTCAATTATATTGCCTAACGTTGGTGGGCCATGTGAATTTTGCTTTGCCTACCACCGATGCACCGCTGACCTTGGCTGACCGACATCTCACCCCGGAGTTGGTTTCTGAAATTGGTTCAGTCGAACCTGGCGATGGGCTCAGTCGCGTGTGATTTGCTTGAAGCTCCCTACATAAAGACCAAAGGGTTTGGCGTGGGAAAGAAAACTCCCGCGAATATGGTAACCTGGAACCAACCCTACTAGCCCAGTATTCAAAACACTACAACAAACGGGCAAAGATCTATGAGATGTTTCATTTCAAAAGACTGGTATGTTCCTTGACAAATACTCATGCCATCTTGGCAACGTTCTTTTGTAAGGGTTCCCCTCCGTTGTCAACTGCACGTCCTCAATGGCGCTTCCCCATTTGACCAGCTCTGCTTCTCCATAGGCTGTTTGCATGATGGCGAGGCCAAAGGCCATGCCGTCACTTGACCGCACACTCACTGGAAGGGTTATCATTGGATATCCAGCTTGGGCAGCGATCTGGTACGTTTGACCAACGTCAGGGGGAACCAGGAGCCCAGCAAGCCTTGAGCCGTTGGCCAATGTAAGGGCATCACTAATGCCGTTTCGTGTCGATGTCTGTGTGAATTCGACAGCCTGGTGGTAGATATCGTCCTTAATTCCTTGCGACTCAAGGGAAGCAAGGAACCCGTCTTGGCCGGAGTAGAATGCCGAAGTTCCGAGCGGCCACGGGTTTCCGCCTTCGGTTCCATCGTTGTTGTAGTTGAATGCAACGATGTCTTCAAGTGTCTTGATGTCGGTGTTCTCCAACTCAGACAGGTAAGAGTTGATGTTGTTGTAAAAGTCAACCTTTACTACCGTGTACTCGGATTCGTTTGGGTAGCCCCTTGTCGTTCCGTAGTCCCAGTCCCACCCGTCGGGGCTGACTAGTGTCTGATAGTTGGTGATCTCAGTGTTGTTGATTATGGTTGCCCCCTCGGAGGTGATGAGCTTGAGGACCTGACCCAGAGCCTCCTTCTGCTCATCGTCTGCGTAGACCCAGAAAGTCTTCCAGGGCAGACCGAACGTAGCGCCCTTCAAAGCTGCTTTGGTTGAGAGAAACTGGGTGTATCCTCCCTCCGGGGTATGGCCTTTTTGAGCCAATGTGTAATTGTCTCGCGGATCAATTCCGTATATGGCATCAAAGGCATACACTGCATCCCTGACCGTGCGTCCAAAAGTCCCCACGGAGTCTTGGTGTTCGCTTTCTGGGATAACACTATCTATCGTCAGCCAAGTCTCCCGTTCAAGATCGCAGGAGTCCAAAGTACCCAGCCCGAGACGTAAGACCGACTGTAGGCTTGAATCCCACGATGGCGTTGCGTTCCGCGGGGTTGATGACGCTCCCATCAGTCTCCGTGCCCAACGCAAATGCAATGGCGTTCGCAGCAACGCCAACAGCACTTCCCGTACTACTCCCACCCGGGTTGAGGGTGAAGTTGTATGGGCTTTTACATTGGCCGCCACGTGCGGAAAAGCCTTCGGAGTAGTTATTGCTGCGCATATCAGCCCACTCGCTCAGGGCCGCCTTGCCGAATAGGACGGCGCCTGCATCTCTGAGACGGGCTACCACGTGAGCATCGCGAGGGACGATGCTACCAAGAAGAGCATAACTCCCAGCGGTTGTTTCCATGGAGTCTTTGGTTGCAATATTATCCTTGACTGTAAACGGGATCCCATGAAGAGGACCGCGGACCTTTCCGGCTTTTCGTTCCGCATCCATCTTCGCGGCAATCAGAAAAACATCCGGATTGATCTGCAGGATGGAGCTGTTTCCCACGTCAGGTTCCCGGGCAATGACAGTCTGTCCAAAAAGCTCACTCCGACTGGAAGCTAACTTACTGGATATACTCTTGCGTCTGGTACGTCCGCTGCATGTAGCAAGAAACAAGCTGTTGCGACGTCAGAGTTCCCGCATCCATCGCGGCTTGCATTTGGTCAATGGTAGCCTCCTCCAACAAGAATGTCCCACAGGGTGGCATTGGGAATAGGTCTACGGAGTCGGCTTTCTCTTGTAAGGGGAAAATTGAAGGAACCGTCGATGACGAGTTGCTTGAACACAGGAGGACGCCATCGTAGGAGCTGATGGCACCTGAGGCGTGGAAAGTCGCCAAGACAGCACACCAGATCGTAGTTCGCTGCATCCTCGGTGCAAAACAACAAGACTTGGGTTTGGCCAGACCAGCCTAAGGAGTTCAGGTTGGTTATGAGAGAAAAAGTATCTGCTGGGATCGAAGAACCAGGTCACACAGCCATCTTCTTGTGCGCTATCTAGGTCTTACAATCTCCTCAGCTGATAAGCCGTGGAGCCTGCCCCGCCTCGAGGTGCCGACTTCCGCAGCGTAGCGCAGCGGGGCGCAGATCGGTTCTTGGTTAGTCGCCGCGGCCTGTGATTGGCAATGAGATAGTGATTGCATTGGCAGATGCAGGCAATGATTGTGAGTCTTGATGGTTTCTGGGATGGGTGTGGTGCAGTTTGCATAGCGTTTTGCAATACAGGCGTTAGGACCTCTCGCAAGACGTCAAGGCGAGTTGAAGAAGTAATTGTAAATTTCGTGATGCACAAAGATCACGTTTTGGACAAATACTGGAGCATCTAGGCGGCGCCCCTGGGGTTACGTATGTTGGCAGACTCGGACGTGTGTATGAACTCAACTGGATAGCCTAAGCAAAATACTCAAACCACGTAGCATCTTTCAGCGCGTACGCCTGCTTTTGCTTCTCCGCGGCTTGTGTAAAAGGCTCACCGAATATAAGGTCCGATTTGCCGTGTTTGCCGTGTAACCCGTGTTCAACTACGTACAATTGCAATATTAGATGCGACAATACGGTGCCCCCAATCATCTTTGACCAAAGTATTTCTACTTCGCCAACACATTTTTGGGGTTTCAAGCCATCGAATGATATTCTAAACTCTTCCTTATCTTCATCGTTTGGTATTACATCAAGTCCAAGCTCCCGAGCTTCGAGCATGGAAATAATGTTTCCGTCCAGCCTGTGGTAGAGGGTGGCGTCTACGGGTAGGGGTGCTCTTCGGTTTTCAGGGTCCCTTATATAACCAGTGATAGCTTGAGATATGTCTTTCTCATCGACATGCAAGATCTTGCTAGTTGTAGGACTTTGGACGACGTCCTGGGGAATAGTGGGCCTAGGCGACGCAGATGCCGTGTTTGATACGTCTCCAGTCTTCGCAATGCTTTTCCCCAGTCAAAAAGAGCTTCATATGCTGAATTAGAGGCGGCAATAGACGGTCCCTGACCTATTGAAGATATACGTTGATGCGCACACTCTATCTGGTCCTCAAGTTTGGCCAACATGTCCAAGTGGGTTCTAATGCTGCTTTCCAACCTATACCTAAGTAACAGTGGAGTTAGATTGCTGGTATCAACAATACCTAGTCCGCGGCACTCACTTTTTCTTTTTCAGTTTTCTAATAGCGAGTGAATCAGAAGATTGCATCTTAATCTTTGTGTAGACCAGCTTCAGTTGGATCGCAGCTATGATCAATGTGAGGTTGGTTTTGATCCTTTCCATTTCGGGGAAAAGAGTAATGACATCGTCCTTGTGAAGCCACCACTTGACGAAAGCCACTGGTGTTCGGCTGCCTCTGGAAAGACTCCGGAAACGTTTTACAACTAAATTCAGGCGCATTCCAAGCGAGTCCGAGTCGATAGATATGACCCTGATCACTTGCTCTGATTTCATGAAGTCAAAGACGGGGGATGTGTTGGTATCTGCGTCATACTCGTCCAGTGTTTCGACAGCCAAGCTAACGGCAAGCGAAAAGGTTCTTAGATGATTGGCACATCGCTCAACGTCTGGTTTCGAGAAGCCTGCACGATGAGAGAATCGGTGCAACGCGCGGGCGGATTTCTTGCCGTAGCTTACGAGCTGGATGAGTGCTGCTGCGCTCGCAAGGATCCCAATAACTTCGGCCATGTCGATGGTCACAGATGCGTCGGCAAGTAACTATCTTTTTTGGAGTTGTGAAACATGAACGAGAGAAGGTATGTCCTGGGGGGCTTTTTCATGGGGTTTAGTATGCCACAACCTCATCATCTGAAAGGACGGGGAGGATGGTGGAACGATTCCACCAAATTCCGTGCCGTCTGTCTATCTGCCTTTCCAGAGCAGGCTGGGGCGTAACAAATCCTGTTCAGGCGTGCTGCATATGCATGAGGGACACGTACAGCCCCCCACAAGGAAGGGCGAACCGGTGGGCAAACACGCAGCCATGCATGCAGCGTTCCATGTAACCATATACTTACTGCGTCGAAAAGCCTAAGCCACTCTTTATTACAAGGCTGCGAAGCGAAGTGCAATTTTCGGTGAAACTGAGGAGTATGGCTACGCTCCATCCATCGGAATATGTGAGGACAAGATGGCAGATTGATCCCGTCACTCTGACATCCGGAGCCGGTATCTCCACTTTTGCGGTGCTCCGGGCTTCAATCGGTCGGGGTGCGGAGCGGCCAGACGCCGGTATAATTGCTGTCCGGACTCGAGAGCGGGCTTTCAATAGTCGGGTGGCGGAGAAACGAATGGATGGCCTCAGAAACAGAGGATCGCCGGTCCATCGATGACTAATGACAGGGTAGTGATGTCATGACCCAGCAATTGATAAATATGTAGGATACAGAGAAACGTCGTCTCCGAAAATAGCTTCTGGGAACGACCAGAAACCATATCATAGTAAGAACCACCCTTACAATGGCATACTCGCGGATTGGCGTGGTGACTGGCGCCAACAAAGGCATCGGATATGCAATTGGTAGGCAACCCTTCATCCAATTCCCCCGCATCACATTGTGGACACCCGCTCATATCTCCGACCGCAGTCCGACAGCTCGCGCTGCAATACCCCAAATCCCCCTTGAACAACGGACCGTTCCTCATCTACCTGACGGCCAGAGACAAGTCTCGCGGCGAGCAGGCGGTTAGTAACATCCAAGGCGATGCGGATCTTAAACAGGCCAAGGCCCTGTCGCCGCACGGCGGTGCCACCGACATCAAATTCCACCAGCTTGACATCTCCGACTCCAGCAGCATCTCGAACCTTGCCTCGTTCTTGAAGAAGGAGCATCCCGACGGCATCGACTTTGTCATCAACAATGCTGGCATTGCGATGCAAGGATTTGGTACGTCATCCACTGCTCCAACCTCCTTCTTGTCCCCTCAGTTCTGACGATGGAAACCGCAGACTTAAACGTGGTAAAGAATACGCTGGCTTGCAACTACTACGGCACCTTGGAGGCGACAAGGGCTTGGATTCCCATCCTCAAGCCCGACGGCCGCATAGTCAACGTGGCCTCGATATCGGGCTCGTTGAGCAAGTACTCGCCCGAGATCAGGCAGCGCTTCCTCAACGCGCAGTCGGTCTCAGATGTTACCAAGCTCATGGAGGAGTTCACTGCCGCGGTGGAGAAGGGAACGCACGAGAAGGACGGCTGGCCGAGCGCGGCGTACGCGGTCTCCAAGGCTGGCGAAATCGCCATGACGAGGGCGATCGCCAGGGAGCTGCAAGAGAAGGGGAGTAAGTTGATTGTCAACTCATGCCATCCAGGGTATGTCGTCACAGATATGACGAGGGGAGGAGGCACGAAGACTCCGGACCAAGGCGCTCAGACTCCCGTTCATCTCGCGATTGCGGATATCGGCGGGACAACGGGTGAGTACTGGTCTGATGAAAAGATTGCAAAATGGTGAAATCCGGAGTGTCTCCAACAAAAGTGCACAATGAAGTTTAAATCGTGCGTCTCTAGGAAAGACAAAAATTCAAGACTTCTTAAGTTGTCCAAAAATGAGGTCCATCCAGGATTCGAACCTGGGCCTACAGAAGTTCCAATATCAGAATCCGACGTCCTAACCAACTAGACTAATAGACCGTCGCCATCGGTGGTTGATGTGAAATTTCTTGAAAGTTCAAACACATATTCCCTTTCAAACTTCTACAGCTGGAAGACGAATGCTCATGCCCTAATTTCGTGGAAAATGAAGCTGTCGAACGACTTTAAATAGAATCTACTATTCGGGGAACTAGTTTTCTCCGCTATGCCCTTCTTACCCGCTTCAACATTCCCCGCTAGTGTCAGTTTAAGCATACCTAGCGGCGTGCGACTCCAACACTTCAAGGTTTGGCTTCCGTATATTGCAATGAGCCCACCGGCTGCCCTAAAGAAGCACGCGAGAAACATAAAGGACAAGAAACAAACCAGAACAATGAAAGGAAAAGAATCTCCCCCCATCCCCATTGCCATGGAGAAGTAGCCGCGGATCGATAGCACGGCCCGTGTGAGTGCGCACACTTTTCCCCGCGCTGGAAGGTTACTTAGTGGATTCAGGGGGCGCCTGTCGATGATCCATGTGGCTTCCTGGGCGTGGTTCCTGCGCCAGAGGAGAAACGCAGTTCGGCCGAGGCCGAAATGCCACCTTCTCGCCGACTGCTATTGATAAACGGTACACTACATTATTAGCCTGACCACTACGGACAGATCGACATGGCGTCGTGGTACGCGCGAACATTCTTGGACAATATCACTGTTAATTCTGTCAGAGTCCCTCTGAATTTTCATCGAGCTTCCTCGTGCAGGTCGAGGGTGGGGGTGTTCGTCAGAGAATCCCCGGGGGGTTGGATCTGTCCTGGTGAAAGTGAGATTTGACCAACCACCTTCACATTCTGCGATAGCCAACCGTGCAACTTGCGTCACCCAATGGGACACTTCCGCTACGAAGTTGCGAGTTATCTTCTCGATACGGAGTAACGCCGCACCATTCGAAGAGAGCCCTGTCTCTGTCTGTAGCCTCCGTATGCCAAGGGATCCTGACAGGCCCGACAGCATAGCATTGGCTCCGGGCCTCTGCCAAGATGCCAAGAGCCGTAGTCAATAAGCCAACGGTAACGCAATTGGGGAATGGCAATGGCCTTCATAGCCTGCTGGGGGGCGAGTTCGGCCAGCCACCCGTGAAATCAAAAGAGAGCGGCCCTTTTCGATACGCTATGCCCCTCTCCCGGGGGCACCCAGCCAGGCTCGTTGCTTGTTCCTCGTCCCTAAAAGCTTCGCACTGCCTTGGCTCAAGATGGTTTAAAGCGCGACAGTCATTTGACAGCTCGAGCTCCGGGACCAAGACATATTGTCAAAAGAATGTGGCAACGGCAGCAAAGCACGCCATCTATAATCTCGGACCATATCGTATCGCTGGTCGCCTTGGAGCTCTCGCTCTCACCTTGGAAAGATAAAAATTCACCCGTGTCCCCCCCCCGGCCGCGCCAGCTGCAGGTTGGGTTGGGCGCATTGCGTCGCGTGGGATGAACATGGGCCGGACACACCGACGCCAAGCTGCCGGGACGCTGCTGGTGAGTAGTCTCGATGCTGATGATGACGATGATGGTCCGCCGTAGAGGTGCGCCCGGTTCGATAGATCGAGAGCTATCAGCATGCGACTGCGATGCGCCGCCTCCTGCAGTCGAAAGCAAAGCTTACCCAACGCGGCGACACTCGTGGACTCTCGTTCTTCTTCTCAACCCCCCTCAGGCGCTTGTGAGGTATGCAAGGCGTTCATACAGGGGGCGCGAGTTGAGATTGCCTCTCACTTCCCGTCTCGGGGATGCGTCGATAAGACCATTGTCTCTTATGTCCAGTGTACAGATAGCTATGCCGGGACTCCACCACTTATCATCGCCTAGCATACCCCTCTCGCGAGTGGCAGTGGGTCGTCCGTTACCTTGCTTGACCATTTTTTTCCGAGATGGTTTGCATTCAGGCACCGCCTGCCACGCCTAGTGTAGAAACATTTAACACAGAACTCGAACCAAGGGCGCCTGGTCCCTGCGGAAAGTGAGTGGGATGAGGCGACTGGCTTAACTACTCTACTTGTAGAGTAGAAGGGCAAACAAACGTCAGGGATCCCTCATGTGCAAAGCACAGGGTTGCGGGCAGTACTCGGGAGATGTCGTACGGAGTTCCAAGGTGACGTGAGGTAACCATTCCAAGTCCTCCAGTCCCATCCAGGCCCGTTTCCGGGGGTTTCCATGTCAGGCATTAGTACGATTTGCCAAAGAATGAATCCGCTATCCTGCAGATTCGTCCTGTTCACCCCTCCCACCCCCCACTATCCCGCAGACTCATACTGCTCTGCTCGGCGGGACGCTGCAATGTGCTACTGGTCCCTGATCTCTGGGAATCCTTACTATGTGGGTGCTCCCTTAAAAAGGTATCTGCAGCCCTCCCTCTCGGTGTCGAGCGAGCGTGTGATGTCTTCTCAGCCTTCTCGCTCTTCTTTTTCGTCGCAGCTCTGTGGCTCCTTCAAAGTGTGTCCGGCCTGAATGATCTCAGAAAGACCGTAGCTTACTCAGTAGTCCTTGGCACTCCATCGTCATCAACCATATGGAATTCATTGTCCAGTTCTTCTCACTCCTCCTCAAGGCCATTCGGTAAATCGAAGGCTTGCGCATTTGCGACTTCACAACGGAAGAGACCCTCCCCCGCAGCTCTGCGCATCTTGCGCACCTTGATCCCACGGAAAGTGCCAAATCTCGAAGCCTTCACTTGTGAGCCATCCCGAGGTGATTTGAGACGATCCCGCGGCGCCGTGACCAACCCCCCACGCCCCCCGGGCTCCGATCCCCCACATTCTCCTCCTCACCGGCCATGTCGTCCACCGGCATTGAGCGCGCAGGGCACAATGACGGCCCGCCGACCTACGGCTCCTCCAACCACGCGCGCTTCCCTCAGGAGAAGCTCGTTGGCCAGCCACATGACGAGACTCTGGAGGAAGGCGGCCGTTCGTCTCTGGATTCGAGCCTGAAGCAGGATCATACCCATCGCAAACTCAAGTCGCGTCATATCCAGCTGATTGGTATCGGTGGCACGATTGGTACGTCGTCTTACGTGTGCGAGATCAAAGGACCCAGCAAGACTAACACATCGCGCATAGGAACCGCTCTCTACGTACGTTGGAAATCGCGCACCCGCCGGCTGCCTGCTACCGGTGGCTAATGTACTCACGATAACCTGCAGGTCCAAATCGGAAGGGGCTTGCTCAACGGTGGGCCGGCGAGCCTGTTCATCGCTTTCAGCATTTGGTGCACCTTCATCCTGGCCGTGACCCTCAGCATGGCTGAGATGGTCACCTACCTCCCGATCTCGAGCCCCTTCATCCGCTTCGCCGGTCGCTACGTCGACGAGGCCTTCGGGTTCGCTGCTGGCTGGAACTTCTTCGTCTTCGAGGCCGCCCTCGTCCCCTTCGAGATCGTCGCCTGCAACCTCATCATCCACTTCTGGAGCGACGCCGTCCCCGCCGGCGGTATCATTGCCATCATCCTCGTCCTGTATGGCCTCATCAACGTCATGGCCGTTCAGTGGTACGGCGAGACCGAGTTCTGGGCCGCCCTCGGCAAGTTCATCCTCATCGTCGGCCTCATCATCTTCACCTTCATCGTCATGCTCGGCGGGAACCCGCTGGGAGACCGGTTCGGCTTCAGGTACTGGAACGAGCCTGGGGCCTTCGCGGAGCTCTACTATGACGGCTCACTCGGCCGGTTCCTCGGGTTCCTGCAGTGCCTCATCCTGGCCTCCTTCACGATCGCTGGGCCGGACTACGTCTCCATGGCCGCCGGCGAGGCCGAGAACCCGCGCAAGGTCATGCCCCGCGCCTTCAACGCCGTCTTCTACCGCCTGACCGCCTTCTTCGTCCTCGGCTCCCTCTGCGTCGGCATCCTCGTGCCATACAACGACGAGGAGCTCACCCGCGCCTTCAAAGATGCGGAGCCCGGCGCCGCGGCCTCGCCCTACGTCGTCGCCATGAACCGCCTCAAGATCGGGGTCCTGCCGCACATCGTCAACGCCATGGTTCTTACCGCCGCCTTCTCCGCTGGCAACAGCTACGTCTACTGCGCCTCGCGCTCGCTGTACGGGCTCGCGCTCGAGGGCAAAGCGCCCGCCTTCTTCAAGAGGTGCACGAAGAAGGGCGTCCCGGTCTACTGCGTCATCGCCGTTCTGCTCATCGGGCTCCTTAGCTTCCTCCAGCTCAGCTCCAACACGGCCGTCGTGCTCAATTGGTTCGTCAGTCTGGTCACCGCGTCGCAGCTCATTAACTTTTCCTGTATGTGCACGGCGTACCTGGCCTTCTACCGCGCCCTCAAGGCCCAAGGCATCAGTCGTGACTCGCTGCCGTACAAGGGGTGGTTCCAGCCGTATGCCGCCTGGTATGGCCTCATCGGCACCTTCATCATGACATTTGTCGGTGGCTACACCGTTTTTCTGCCCCTCGATGGGTATTGGAACATACCCGACTTTTTGTTCTCGTGAGTCGGACGCGTATGCTCCAATTCGTACACAAAAAAAAATTGCTAACATGGCTAGGTACACCATGGTCGGCATCTTCCCCGTCTTGTATTTAAGCTGGAAGTTCATCAAGCGCACCAAGATCTATAAGCCTGAGGAGGTCGATTTGTACCGCAACAAGGTACGATGATATCACGTAGAAAGACAATAGCAGTCTCATCATCGTGTTACTAACGGTATAATAAACAGGAAGAGATTGATGAATACGAGAGGAATTTTGTGCCTACGCCGCCAGCGTAAGTCATATTTCCTTGCAATGCTTTGAGCAACGAATGCTGACTAGCTGAGCAGCAACATTGTCGAAAAGGTGCTGGACAAGCTTTTCGGCTAAACTCCCCGGACACACCCACAGTCCTACTTGTTTCTTTGGTATTTGAAGGCGCTTGGCTTTAAGGGCCGAAAGGCTTTAGGGTACCCCGCGGACGGAAACGCCATAGGGGACAAATAACCCAATACAGTCGAGATACTGCAATAATCAATGCCTCAAGATAAAGACGTGACTGGAAAAACACACCAACGTGCAAAGTAGAACAATCCCTGTCTCTTGAATACAGAGAGTATCGCTTTCTATGTGAAGATGAACTAAACTTCTTCGTAATGAATAGGATGGTCGGTGTATCCCATGGACCTGATGAAAATCTGCGCGCTCTCCAAAAGCCGTCTCTTCGCATCGCCTCTGGCATCGCGGCCGATAAAGGCACTGTGTGCATCATCAAAATCAAGCACAGAAACGGCCTTCCAGATACCATACACGGCCTCTGGAGAGAGCGGGATCTATGGGCGTTGCCAAAAGTCAGTTCTCCAACCAGCCGCCGATTCCCAAGAGCGCAACCGAGCCTACTCACCATGTTCGGATACGACCACATGAATGTAAAGCTCGCGGTCCCCTCCGGCCGGTCGACGTGGTAGATGCCGCTCGGCACCACCATGACCGAGTCCGCCACGAACAGCTTTTTCTCGCTCTTCCACAGCAACACCGAGCTGCCGGGGAAGTGGCCCGCGACCTTGACGGCCAGAAACTGCCCGTAGAGGAACTCCATCGCCAGCCCCTCCCACAGCACGTGCGCGTCGCCCCGGCGTGGGAGCCACTCGGCGTCCTCGGCCGAGACGTACACCTTGCAGCCAAATGCCTCGGCCCAGTGCAGCGCGGTGGAGAAGTAATGAGGGTGCGAGATGACGATGGCGTCGATGCCGCCGAGGGCGACAATGCGGCTCACCGTTTCGTCGTCGATGTACGTGATGCAGTCCCAGAGGAGGTTGCCTGCGATGGGCGACCGGAGGAGGAACGCGCGCTGGCCGATACCGACCGGGGGCTCGGTGCGGATGGCGACGACGCCCGAGTTGTACTTATCCTTGGTGAAGACGTTTCTGTGCTTTCTGGAGTCTTGGAGCTCGCGAAGCGTGGTGAACCATTGGCTGCAGCTGTTAGCCTGCCCTGTTGACTGTTTGAGACGAATCAAAGCGACATCGAGACCGCACTGGGACAGCCTCACCCTCCTTCAGGGACGTATTGTCGAGGATCATCGCATATTTTGCATGACTTGATTGCGTGGCTGCCGTACTGCACTCCGCAGGTACCACAAATGAGGAGATCCATTTTATTGTAGTGATTAGCCATGTCAGGGTCTCACAGGAACAACCTGCATCTATATTGAGTTGTGATGGTCTTGGCCGCTCAATCCAAATTCTAACCCCTCATTCTGAGGCAGTTGACATTGGCAGGAATTGTATCAGCATTAGTCAGACTGAGTATCACGATGCTTAGTCAGGGTATCAATGTGGTTTGTCAACGCCCAGCGCCAGTAGGAGTATTAACCCGACGGGCGGGGCTGTCTTGAATCGCTGGTCGCTGGTGGCCCCTGAATTATTGGGAAATGGTCTGCCGAATATGAGGCCCTTTTCTGCGAGAGAATGACAACTTGGTTGGGCGACATCGCGAAGCTTTCGAATCAACAGGTCCAATGTTAAGCGCAGGGCTGTCGCCACTGCTGGTTTGGATCATGATTGCAGGCCAGGGGCGAAGAAAGGATACGGCTTGAACTCTGGCAGGCTGGGTACATGTAATTGTGTTGCTGCGGGCCGCCACTTCGACAATTCTATGTGCATAGTTCCTCTACTATGCTATGATTGACATACTGACATGGGGCAAATAAATCGTGCTACGGCTTCATCAACCTCATCAGGCTGTCAGAGGACGGGCGGCCTTGCTCACGGTTGTGATATTGTCAGGACTACACTATCATATGGCTCACGTGTATATCATCGTAAGAGTCTAGCTCGATCAAGTGTCGTTTGCCCTTACCGAGAAGCATCTCGACGTTGACCAAAACAACAATACTCTGTCTGATGCGATAAAGTCGAACGATCACTTGCTCCTCGAGTTTAGATTCTTAAAGGTCCAAGTCATCAAAGCTTGAAACTATTGTATTCGTTGTTGAACCGTGTAGCCTTAACTACTTGACCCGCGGTCTTTAATCTCGGGGGAGAAAAATCCAAAATACTGTTCTAGCTGAAAAAAAGATACACAATTGTTCTCCGATTAGATGGAACTTGAAGTTGACCATCTTGCCACCCTTCTCACTAAGTCACAATGTCGCTACGCTGCTACTCATATTCATAAAGCTCCACCGGTAGATTGGTGATGTCGGTCTGTTCGTCTCGTGTTTTGGGGCTTAAGCGGTCGCACAGTCTGCGCAAATCCCCTATGGGCAGGGGACCACAATTGTCGTTCCGGTTTTGATAAAGTCGGGTTGCGGGATGTTGTTCGTTTTGGCAAGCTCGTCAACCGTGGTGCCGAAATCGGCGGCGATCGATTTGAGCACGTCGCCTTGAACGATTAAGTAAAAGCCTTGCCCGGGGTTGGCCGGGTCTGGTCTGCAGCCGCGCTTGGCGGCTGCCATGCCAGCAAAGGCAGCGAGAGAAATGAGTAGAGACGCGGTGCGCATTTTGGTGGTTGATGTGGTCGAAGTAGAACGAAATATCCGTAGTATGGAGCGAGCTTTTTGTTTGTGTCAGAGGTTTGGATGCAGAATGGCCATAATGGTTGCTGATGACGGCCGGTACGTCAGATCTTTATGTATTTAATATGCTACCCTGTAATTATTAGTCTCTCCCCGGCTGTTCCTAATGCTATATTGAGATTATACTGCAGTCACATAACTTATAATGCATGTCTTCGAATTAATTGCCCTAGCTACATGTAAGTACACGAGTCAAGAAAGAGGCGACGATCATACTGCCTACTTACCATAAGCAGTGGATCTCATTAAACTTTATCTTCCCCGGTGCTAACATGAGCATACAAGAAGTGAAGAATGTTTTATTGTTGATTTGGAGCTAGAAGATTCACCTATGCTTTATTCCAAGGATAAATACAAGTCAGCCTAAGGGACTCGTTTCCAGTCAATAAACTAGAATAGACTTATCCTAAGCTAAATACAAAGTAACGTAACAGGAATTACCCCTCCAAGGTCCAACAGGTTACGGGATTGCCGATAGTCCGGATCCCTGAGTGCACCCACCTTCAGGTCGGAACTTGCGACCAAGGCTTAGCGAGCTCTGACAAAAATGGGTACAGACATCTTGGGGATATAATTGCGGACTGCTACCTGTAGCAACCTCGAAATAGATAAGAAATGAAACACATTGTGTCACAGAATAAATGCGAACGAGTAGGGTGACCACGTTGACATTTCTATCTAATTCGATTTACTATACGACTCTATATACTATGTATGCCCGCCCAGCTTCTTACCACTTAGCCATTGACACCCTCTTGTTGTTCAGTTTGGCTGGGGCGAACAAATAATCAAAAACGTCTTGTTTATGACTGATCAACTGTGGACCTGATATATACCATCCCTTTACCCACCTAAATTTGATTCGATGCCATGTCGACTTGCTGAAATGATAAACTATGTCAAACTGAGGTTATAGGGTCGGCGGCTGCTGCTGTCAATTTCAGCATATTCGTTCTTTTGACTGCATATCTCTCTGAGCTGAACTGATGCTGAACCTTAATGCCTATAGCCCAGACGTTCGATGAGTGCAGTCGAAAGGTAGCTTGGCAGGGGAGGACCACGATAGATTCAAGAGTGGTTGCTACCCCAATATGAATTACATCAAGTCACCGAGATCTCGGCTCACTGAGAGGGTACCTACGTGGAAGAGTGGAATAGATGAACTGGTTGAGAACATGAATGGCCCCGGACCCGGGCTACTGATCATTCGGCGGCATGCACGGGGTTTCAGGACGAAGGCTGCGCGTGACATATGGGCACATGGATTTATTCAAGATATCCCATGTAGTAAATCTAAAATGTACAGTGGTCCAATCTAGTGTCCCCGTGACGAATCATTACTCCGATCTATTATGTGTTGAACGTTTACATGCAAGCAGCGCCGTCAATGCCGATGACCTTTCCGTTAACCCACTCGCCGTCCTGGGAAGCCAGGAAGCAGACGACACGGGCAATGTCGATCGGGAGACCGACACGGTGCATGGGGGACCAGCCAGCGGCGTACTCGTCGACACCTTCGTCGTCGAGCTCACCACCGTTGGGAATGTACTCACGGCAGACGTCACTGCGGATTTTGTTAGCTTGATGACCCGCGGCGGCAGAGGGTAGTGTGGCATGTTCTTACCGGTACATGTCGGTCTTGATGCCACCGGGGGCGACAGCGTTGACAGTGATCTTCTTGTCACCGAAGTCGATGGCCATGCAGCGGACAAAGGTCTCAATGGTACCCTTGGAGCCGGAGTAGACGGCGTGCTTGGGGACACCCTTGGCCTGGCCAGTGATGGAGCCCATCAGGATGACGCGGCCACCGACCTCGAGGTTCTTGTAGGCCTCGCGGGCGACGAAGAACTGTCCACGGGTGTTGATGGAGAAGACACGGTCGAACTCCTCGGGGGTGACGTCCTTAACGTGGCCGAAGGAGACGACACCGCTGTTGGAGCAGACGATGTTGAGCTTGCCGAAAATCTTCTTGGCCTCAGCGAACATCTTGACGATCTGGTCAACGTCGGAGACGTTGGCCTTGATGGAGGCGGCATCGGAACCGCTCTTCTTGATGGCCTGGACGACCTGCTCGGCGGTCTCGGCGCTGTTGGCGTAGTTCACAATGACCTTGGCGCCACGACGGCCGAGCTCGAGGGCCATCTCACGACCAATGCCACGGCCTGGAAGATGAAAACAATGGTTAAGACTCGAATCAGACGAACGGACCGGGTGATGCACCCCGCAATTTCAGCAAGGCTCGCCGATCTCCGGCTGCGGCACTCCCGCAGGGTGCATCCCATCCCGTAGAAGTATAAGGTATAGGGAAGACTTACCGGCACCGGTGACAAGAGCAACCTTGCCCTCAAGGGACGCAGAGCCCAGACCGAGAGGGCCGGGGATGGCATCGTACTTAGAACCAGTGGACTGAGAGGTGACACCAGGCATTTTGGCTGATTTTTGTAGGTTGACTGTTGGTGTCGGAGACGCGGTGGTGTGGTGGTGGCAAGGAACTGGATCGTGTAGATACCTGGGAGTGGATTGGTTGAGTGAGTGTTTGAGTTCTGTCGAGTGTTCCGAGAATGATTAGACGGGCTGGATTTCGAGGTCTTATGTACGGCATCTCGACATGTTGAAGGCCAGCCCGTCCGTCCAATGTGTTTGTTCTATTCTCGATGCCCGTTTGGGACTCGTAGTACCGCCTCACCTGAGACCCGTTCCTTTGCTGCTTGCGCCCGGATGCCCGTGGAGAGACGACCGGACTTGCATATGCGCGCACCGGACGTCCGTGAAACGACGCCGTTCCGCCTACTAGTCTCCTAGTCCCAGCATGCACATCGCTCCCCGCAACAAAGAGCGAGAGCCGAATGCACGCCACATCGCCCGTCCTTCTTCTTTTTCGGCTGATCTCCCGCCACCATCCCTGAACTAATGATGTTTGGCCGGTCCCTTGGCGTCACTCACGACCGACGCGCTCCCCCGGCAACGCGGGCGCTCCCCTTATCGCAACAGCTATGTTGACCGCCCGGACCAAGCAAGCCTTGGATGCAGGCCAAGGCGGTTTGTCCCACCGCGACGGGCCCCTTTGCTCGTCCTTCCGCCTTCGTGCAGACACAAAGACATCGCTCGCTTCCCGTGGAGTGCATCGTCAACGCGAGCCGCCTGTTCGCTATCACGTTCGGTGCGACCCCTATGGTGGCCCGAGGCTGAAAGGGTCTTGGCCCACTTGCTCGCGCCCTCGCGCTATTCGGACGACATGAACTTCCCGCTCTGCCAAGTGGACCATGAGGCCGCAAAGCGTCGGCGTGTGATAGTCTCGAGACATATGGTCCGGGGGTCTCTCCCCGGTCTCCACCTCCACATCCCGCCACGGGTCACCCTTGCGGGAGCACAGCATGCAAGGTTGCCGGTCAACTGCTGTTTGGCATGGCGCCGCCACGAGTCTCAATGCCGTCCGAGGTCCGAGTGGAAGAATGCCACGCCCGCATTTGAGACTCGGTCTAGGTGCTGAGAAAGAAGGAATGGGAAGGTTCTGGGCCCGGACTTCAGCTGAAGCCGTTCGTGGCAGGCCTCGTCGGCTCCGCGCCCGCTGACGATGCTTGACCGACAGTGCAAGGCCAACATGTGAACGTGCGAGCTTTCGGCCTTCGCATTTACGTTATTTGTCGCGCCGTTGAGGTGGGATCATCTGATGTCGAGGTGTTGCTTAGAAAATCTCGTACTTGGCCAAATCAAGGGTAATGTGTCATCCCAGAAACGGCTCTGGCTGTTTGGGAACGAAAGTTCGGGTTCGTCCATTGAGGTACGGCACTTAGACTCGATCCTTCGGCGGTTCCCGGGCCCATCAGCATGTCTAACCCACCCGGGGCCGTCTTGAGACACACTTCAAGCTGGACGGCGTAGACATACATCTTTGCAGCTCGGTGTGCTCAGTGCGGACCCGGAAAGGCCATCTCCGAGGAGGCCTCTTACTGACCGGCGCAGCAGAGCCGACGAAAGCAAACCACCCCGGGCATACCTACACTGAGTTCGGTATGACAATCCGATCATGACGGGCCGGAAGTTTCGATCCTAGCTGGGTTCCCTCGCCATCCACGCCGGAATTTTCCACTTTTGGGAAGGTTTCGTATCCCTACAGTCCCATCGCCTTTAATCTGAGCAGTTTGGGACTTGTCGCAGAACCCCGCCTCTCCGGCATTCGGTTCTTCTCCCTTCTACATACGATGATTTTTTGTGATTTTTTTACTTTTATGTTTCGGAATGCTTGGCGTAAATGTACAATCAGCCGCGTAATCCTGTTGTTTAGAGTTGGTTCCTGTATTCAAGTCGAGCCTGTCGACTACAACGAAAAAAAGGAGACCTCGCCTGAGAGCCAATTCCGGCTCGTGACGGTGTGCTAGACACACCCTTCATAATATGCTTATACTCACGGCCACAAGGGGACTGCGCAAGAAAACAACGCGATGACAATGTGAAGACTGAAACCAAAACTCCTTTTCAAGAAGATCAATTTAGGGCAGTCGAGCGCGATCGCTTTTGGATAGGCCTACAAGCCATTTCCTTCTCATCAGTCCCGTGATTTGGCATAGAGTCGACAAGTCAGATCCCTTCTTTTATATATATCTGTTGCAATGTTAACCATCGCAGATAAATATTGGAGTTATTAGGTTAACCCTGATGACTCATTGCTAGTGAATCCTTGGATATTTAGCTATAGATTCTCTAAGGATTTATAGGTAATAAGTTAGTTATTTAACTAACTAACCTATAATAATTATCTTTCTTTTTTTATATATAATAGAGAACTATAGTTACCTCTATTATTTATTAATTACTACTAATATATATAGTTAACTATATTAACTTATCTTTTAGTATTACTAATACTAATTAGTAGTTAACTTTATTATTAACTATATAGGTTAACTTTACTATTTAAACTATAGATTAGTAAAGACTATAAGAAGAGGTAATTATTACTAGTTAATTATTTATATGCCTAGAGTAAGCAAGGACTAAAA